ACACCACACAACGACTTTTAGACTGTGGAGGTTTTTGGTAAACAGTTCGTGAGGATTTTCTGCTCCCCAGTACCTAAAGTTTTGCTTGTTAACAACACCGTCCAAATGAAAATTTGCTTCGTCGCTCATTAGCAAATTATGTATTCCTCCATGGTGCTGATTTAAAAATTCTTGACAAAATGTCAACCTCGCTTCTTTATCTGTATCACTGAGGTGATGCGCCATTTGGTATTTATAGGGGTGAAATTTTAAATCTTTATGCAGAATTCTGTGGAGACTTCCCTTGGATATTCCTAGGGCAAGTGATTGCCGATTAGCAGATCTCTTAGGGCTTCTTGTGAAGGCAGCTCTCACTCGTTCAATATTTGCAGGCGTACGCACCGTTCTTCGACGTCCAGGTTTTTTAATGTTTTGCACAGAGCCATTTTCACGCCAATGACGAACCCATGCCGAAATTGTAACGCGTGTTGGTGCATCGCCCCTATTATTATTTCCAAACTGCCGTCGAAATGCACGCCGAACTTCTTCCACTGAACCAGTTCTAATGTAGACTTCCACGGAAAACACACGCTCTTGAATTGAATAATTCATAACGCAATGAAAATTGTTAAAAAATGAAAATTAAATTAAGTTGTGACATTTGTGACTAAAACAATGAAGTGTTTACTTTTGTCGTTGCTTAGAGACAGGCGCCTACTTGTTAAAATGTGATCCTAATGGTGTAGCATCATTTGGTAATATTGGTTTGATTTGCTTCGTCGAGTAATGCGAAATTTTAAACTTAGAATTCAAAATTGCATTGAAGTCGAAGGAGGGCATTTGGAAGATATGATCTTTAAAAATTGAATTATTATTTATTTCAGTCATAAATCCCATAAAATTAGCTACAGTCCATTAAAAAGTTAATTTACTTTGATCAGAAAGTTTTTATTCGACTTTTAAACTGCATATTCTAATATGGGGAACCCTGTATAAGATTTTAACGTTATTCCTAACTAAAAATAATATTTATTTTCTGTTATTATATTTTTGATACATGTATGGTATCTAGAAAGATAGTTTTGAGGGCCCCTTCAATATTGATATATATGGTATATTCATTAAATATACTCGTAACTGAGATAAGATACAGATGAGTAAAAAAATGAAAACAGAACATGTAACCACAAATTATGATATATACGCTATAAATGTTATCCTTATATAAAATCGATTCTATATTATAGCTACGAAAATTTAAACAATATATATCAAATTACACAACTAAGAAAAATTCCGTTTTGAACTAACAATAAGTACCCACTTATGATATGATAATATTTTGCAAAATGATTTAAAAAGTATACAGAACAGTTTGTAATTGTATGTCGCAAAGCATAGTAGGATAATCAGCACAGAAAACTAAAAATCATACTAAAATTAGTCAGTCGAGCCTGTTTATACATGCCCTGCAAAATTCTAAAATAAAATTTGAAATTTTTTGATAGGTAACTCCGAAACGTTTGAAATGGTCGATTCGGAGAATAATTTACTGGTGTTACTGAAAATTAAATAAGCATTGGTGTAGATATGAGAGCAACGGTGTCATTCTTATAAATAAAAAATATATCTGTTATTTTTCACTTTGTATAATTTTTAAAAACTAAGTTATATTCACAAATAAAATGTCTTGTCGACTTTTTTTTCTTCGATATAATTTTCGGTGTGGGTCGCTGATTTAATATCAATTTAATATTATTGTCATTTAATATTGTCATTTAAATGACAATAATATGTGAAACAAAACAGGTAAACAAGTTTAATAAAGTTTCCGTTGTAACCCCGGTTAAAACTCCCTTTAGCTTCATCTAAACACAAAATACTGGTTAAATCATTGAAAGTAGAGTAATTCATGTTATTTTTAATCTTTAATCTTCTTTAAAAATATTGCCATCTCGAAATAGGTTATTTGAAAAAAATATACCGCTGCTCCTCTTTGTCTTCGCCTGCTACTATTTTATATTTTCGGTGATAACACTGATTATATTCCATTTAAAATTCTCTGTACCTGCATGTTTCAAGTGTATGTTTGGACAACATAATGGATATTCGAGGAAAAATATCAACTAAATGCCATTTATACGGATTTTACAAAAGCTTTTGATAAAGTTAATTATGACTTACGTTTATGACTTCTTAAATTGTTATATCTGGTTTTCTTACCTTTACCATTGAATCGGCCACGTTCAGGATCTTCCTTACCATATTTGTAACGGAATACGAAACATTCCTGGGCACCTTGCTCACCACCGTGCTGGAATAATTGATTAAGTGCACCACTCTCCTGGCTGATTCCCTCATAAGGAGAACTATCAATTGTTCCAAGTTCTCAGGACGGGCTTGGTTTTCGGGTTCGTTCTTGCTGAGGCTTGCCCACAACTCTTTTCCTTTTTGGTAAGCCAAAACGGGATCAGTTGCAATCTATAAGACATTGGTAGATGAGAAGACGAAGGAAATTTATTAACAGGAATACAGATTGATTCAATAAAAAGGGTATTTTTCACAGTTCTGTTAATCTATTTACTTCTACTGTGTTATAAAATGACATCTATATGGAAATATCAATAAAATCTTTCAAGGCTTTTCGAAGTTAATTGAAAATTTTTGGCAATTTTGATGACCTCTAGCGGATAAATGGAGTAGCTTATGATAGAGGTAATTTTAGTTAAATCAGCTAATTGTGGCAGCATGTATATGAAATATTAGAACACCCTGTATGCAAAGTGTTACTGAGGAACGTAGTATAGAATTCCAAAGAATATTCGAAATGATAACAATTATTAAAATAAAATACAGTACCTACTTTTTCTTCGTTAGTCAAAATTCTCGACCACTATAATTTTTTATAACATGCTATTCCTATAAAACCAAAAAAAATATATTTTTTGGATCTAAACTAAATTAAATGGAGAAAAGTTTTTCTTTAGCTAAAATAATATATGGGGAAGGATAAGGTAACTACGTATAGTGTTCCTTAACCCAATAGATAGGTACGTTGTCAACAGGAATAAGTTCGCGGGTGAGCTAGACCCGCCTACAGTTGTGCACTGGATATTGAGACAGGCTCAAAAAGGCATTTGCAAGCAGACATCCTAGGAATACCTAATAGGGTTGAATCCAAATACATTTTTAAGGTACGTCTACTGCTTGGTATATTCTTTTTTTTAACAGAATTATTGTCCAACTGTAAAAGTTTCAGTAGCTACAATTAAGACATCTTCACCTCAGAGTTTCTAAAGTGGAGCGCAAGATGTTAAGTGATCAAAGTTTGGTGATGATTGCAAACGCAATCCACTTCATGCAACGTAAAGCGGAAGTAAATCAACACATCATGGGCCTGAAGAAAGAAAGTTCATGACCATGTTATGAGTACACTGGAACAAAGCTTTCAAAACATCCCAAAAAATTAACCAGATTCTGAATGGAGAACAAGGCGGTTTTAAAACGACTAACAAAAACGTAGAAATCGACACCAAAAACTGTCTGGATGAATTCCATCGAATTCGTCAGAGACAGCAATTACTCGGAATCACGTGAAAGCATACGAGTTCTAAAACAAATGGATTTCAAGCGTTATTATGAATAAAATCCTCCGACAAGTTCCAGGGATAGAACATTCCTCGATGAGACAGAGACTGATAGTTCTAAGCATTTGAAATGAAAAAGGATATGTATCTAACTCATATCCCACATTGAAAGCGAGGCTGGAAGTTGGCACGACGACATAATCTTTGAAAATTGTATAAAAAAATTGGTTGCCACCTAGTGAACCGGTAACATGCAGTAACGTTCAAAGTGAAAAATATCCTAATTTTTGAGATGAAAGAATGTATACGTTCTTGGAAAGAATAGTTAACCTGAAGACATGTTCCTTTTATTGAAAATAAAATGTATTAAGACTTCTTCCGTATCATCCAGACTTAAGTCCGATCGAGATGGATTGGGCAACTATGAAACACTGTTGCAGACCGAAATATGGGCTTCACTTTGAAGACAATTGAAAAGCTACAAGATGATTTTTTGTGCCACGGAAGAATAGGCATCAACATATCATATGTTTGAAAGGTCAAGCAATATTTATATAGAAAAAGCCCTTGTTGGATGTAACATCTCACCCACTCATCATAAACATGCAAAATGACATTCTGAATAAAATGACGCGTATCAAGTACTTTCAAATAATTCAATATTTTGATATCTATATTGTATTTATTCAGCTTGTAGACTATTCGAGAGATCGCGCTCGTCACTCTTACCACTCTTAGCGACTGCGTTCCACTTCCCTGTTTCTCTACTCCTGTTTCTCACCCGCAAACTTATTCCTGCCGACCTGTACATAGAAAGAGCTGCTACTCCATACTTAAGTCTATGAAACTTACTTTTATCTTTTATAAATTATAACTATACAGGGTGGTCCGAATTTTATGCAGGAAACTTCGAGGGCATATAGATCTCTTTAAAATAATAGGTGTTTGCCTTATAAACATAGGTCTGGAACGGCCTCGTTTTAGAGATACAGGGTGTTGAAGTTGTTAAAAAAATTTGATTTTTTGTTTATATCTCCGGAATCTATTAACCGATCTTAATAAAATTTGGTATAGATAATGTATGACAGTAAGCCTTACATTTCCTAAAATATGAGCTCTAAAGGTTCAACCAGTGGTGTACAACTGGACAGGGGCCGCCCTCTTTTTATAAAAAAAACTACGCCACTGTATTTTTTGCAAGTTATTGTAACGGATTTATATTCTAATGCACTAAATACGTAAAAAAGGTAACTTGAAATTTTTCCCTAAGATTCACCGTTCTCAAGTTATTCATACAAATACAAACCCCTTGTGGCAGACACTTCAAACCATAATATTACAAGAATATTTATGTTTATACTTAAAAGGAAGTGCAATTTGTAAGCAGATCAACAAAATTATTTCCACATCACCTGTGAGGTAGTGTTCCTAGTGTATTTTAGTTTCTCCTGGAGGCTTAATCCACTATCTTTACAAATAAGGACAATTTAAATGAAAATAATAATAAAAATACATTTACCAAGCAACGACAATTAAACAAGAAATGAAATTAACGTTACGTATTTGCAGCAATTGTTCAAAATGCGAACCATCCACATCGATACATTTCTGACAATTTCTATTAATGATTAATGGAATTACCTAACTAATATCATGTGGTGGTTTTCTTTTAATTCATTACACCCCTCTTCTATTCGCTGCAGTAGTTGTGGTGGAGTAGAGTAAACTTTACTTTTCAGATAGGTAACCCCAAACGTAGAAGTCCAGGGGGTTTAGATCTGGCGATTTGGCTGGCCAAGAGACTGGATTCTCTGCACCATTATGGTTGACATTGGCATTTGGTCTTCAACCTATCCATCGCCCCATATAATTTTTAAGCCATTATTGTATTATTCTCCTAAAATGCGCAGGAGCACCATCCATTTGTATCCAGCTATTTTGTGGTATATTTAATGGAACATCCTCTAATAATTCAAATAGATGGTTTTCTAGAAAGTTTAGAAATGCTGGGAATTTAGATGGGGTGACAAGAAATAAAGTCCGAATTATTCCGAGCCAGAAAATTCGTTGAAAAGATCTTATCCGAATTTCACGAGGATTTTCTTGTGACCAAATATTGTGAAAATTCACTACCCCTCGCCTTGTGAACGTAGCCTCATCGGTCCAAAGTATTTCTAGTAAGAATTCTGGATTATGTTGTGACTTTAAAACAACCACTAACAAAAATTCAGGTGTGTCTACATCTCCCGGAAGTAAATTTTGCACAGGTTGTAAATAGTACGGATTTCTACCATCCTTATGTAGAACTTTTCAAATTTTCGATTTACTCACCCCAATGTTCTTAAAATTTCATTTCTGTGTCTTTCATTGAGCCGTCGTGATTTTCCAAATATCGTTTTAATCCAAAAGATGAAAGCGACGAGTGTAAAGAATTTTGTTGATGTGCTTACAAATTGCACTTACTTTTAAGCATAAACATAAATATTCTTGTAATATTATGGTTAGAAGTATCCGCCACAAGGAGATTGTATTCGTATGAATAACTTGAGAACGGTGAACTTTAGGGAAAAAATTCACGTTACCTTTTTTACGTATTTTGTACATTAGAATATAAATCCGTTACAATAGATTGTAAAAAATACAGTGGCGTAGGTTTTTTTTATAAAAAGAGGGTGACCCCTGTCCAGTTGTACACCACTGGTTGAACCTTTAGAGCTCATATTTTAGAGAATGCAAGGCCTACTGTCATCCATTATCTGTACCAAATTTTGTTCAGATCGGTTAATAGATTCCGGAGATATAAACAAAAAATTAATTTTTTTTAACAACTTCAACACCCTGTATCTCTAAAACGAGGCCGTTCCAGACCTATGTTTATAAGAGAAACACCTATTATTTTAAAGAGATCTATCAGCCCTGGAAGTTTCCTGCATAAAATTCGGACCACCCTGTATATTTAAACATAATACACGTGTTTTACCCCCGATAACCACAATTTTGTACTTTATTTAAAAGGGCAAATAGCACCTACGAGACTTGCAGTTACTCACCAGTTCTGCAACGTATGTCAGCACGTGTACCGCCTCTGCGCTGTGATGTTTGAGAGCTTTGACTTCAGCAATGGTTCTCTGGGTTAGCCTCCTGGTTAGCTTCCGGGAAAAACGATCTGCGTGGTGAATCGTATGGATGGCTTTTCCTGTAGGACCATCAATCGGAGTGTCGACTTCTGACAAATCAAGTACACAAAAAAAATCATTTCTATTTTAACATCTTTTATTTCAACGCTTTCTCCAAATTTTTTGTAGGATATTTGATACATTGAGGTACTGAAGAATTTATATATTGCTTCATTTAAACTTAAGAAGTTAAAAAAATATTTTCAAAACAAAAAAAATCACATATGATTTTGGATATTCTTCTGTTTCATCATAACTTTTTGATTGATAATTACATGACTCTGTATATGTAACCAATCAAATTTTAATGATCATATTGCTATCTTTTGTAAGTAAAATATATTTTTTTAAGATTCACTAACGTAGTACGAACAAAAGGGTGTTAATTAAGTACTTCGACAAACTTTAATGGGCAATTATTTAAGTTTTAAGATATTATTATATTCTAGAATATCTCTGAAGATATTTGATGCAAAATGATGAAACTTGAGCAAATGATTTATCTAATTAACAGTAAACATCTGCTTAATTCGAAAAAATCTGTGAGGACGAAATTTTGCATTTTATTAGAAGTAGCAAGGGGTATATAAAAAATTGAGCCAATTATTTTTTCAAACTTTTCCTGATTATATTTTATAAAAATCGTATATTTAGAAATAGTCCTATGGATCAAATTTTCCTCGTTTTTGTTAGATATTCTAAAAACTACGAATATTGCTGATTATGATAAATAAATTGCCACATGTTTCAGTGGAGATACAGATTTAATTATAATTAATTCTATATTATTATTTTTTTATTTATATTTATTTCTATCCTACTGTCAACCAAGTTTATTGTTTTAGTTTTAATTTCCGATAGAGTACAATAGAAGATGTCGAAAGAATGTATTTAATTCTAAACAAGGAGATAGACTTTCTTAATAAATAATCCATTCATTTTTATATAAAATTTTGTTTATTTCGAAGTAAGAGTCGATATCTTACTAGATAACCATATCAAAAGATAATACTATGATTTTTATTTGTTATATACACATAATCTACGAGAGAGGCCAGAATTTTTATATCAAAAACGTCATATACGCCTTTTTAATAGAATATTTAGCGTAAATTTAATATACTGACTTTAATAAGAATTATTTAAACACTGTTTCAACTAGATGCGTAGAAAAACATATTATGGAAACGAAATATATCATAGAAGTGTGATAATTTGAAAAAAAAAAGTTAATAAAGATACAATGCCAACATTTTAATTTAACAATTAACCAGATCAAGCTTTATGTATCAATTGACACGTTCTGAATGAAGTCAACGAGCATGTCCTTTGTCAATCACTTTTACATGAAGAGAACATGTAAACACCCTTGTAACGATGACAGATGTGTCAAGGAACTTTCTGAAGCACGGTTTATTTAAAATCCAATCACAGATTAGCCTACAGTCTCTCCAGAATTTTATGTAAATACCGTTTCCAGATTAGATTACCCCTATCAGATGGTACGTCTACTCAAAAAACGTGTAGGTACTCACCATCGACAGTTTGATCGTCATAACCTGGCAAATATTTATCTACATATTTATCGGCAACATCCAATGCCTCATCTAAAGATTTAGCTGCAAACACCGTATACTTGCTGGCCAAAACTGTGTTTCCAATCTGCTTCACGGAATCTGCCCTCTTCAGGACAGGACGGGCGATCTTGGTGCTAACGTCGGTCACGTACTTCTTGGTATTCCAATATATCTAAAAAAAGAAGGATTAAGCATATGAAGTGCAAAAGCGGAAAGCATTTTGGGTAGGAATATTATTCCGTTATGTCAAAGGCATTCATTTAAATATCTTCATGGAATATTCGTCTGTGATTGGTGTAATTTTTCACGAGATACTATTCTGTAGACGTAAGGTCGGTGGTCACGTGGCATTTATGAAGGCTCTATGTAACAAGAATATCTTTAAGATATACCACCTTTGATCCGATAAGAGGTTCGTTTGAGGATCTCTACCAAACGATCAAAAATAAGCTTTGTGAAGCAGATCTCAGATGTTCTGCCAGTCATATTTTGGAAGGACCCGTTTGAGTAGTTTATGATTTGGATAAAATATTACTCGTACATACCATTTCTGGCGGTAAGTTGATGGACGGTACATTATGCTCCACTATATCCAAACTCTTACAGACGAGTTTGTCTATCGAAGAGATAGGTCCTTTAAACAAAACAATGGCTGGCGTGGCAACTTCCACAGCTACTTGGAATGAACTCTCTGCTTGGTCCAAGGTCCAGTAGAAGAGGCTGTTGGATCCCTAAAATGAAAAAGAACTTTTTGTAGCTCTTGGACCTTGTCGAAGTATATGAAAACCTTATTGTATTTTGTTCTACTTCTGTGTCAATTTTTCCTTGCGTACCTTGATTTTGCTGTAAATGTTTCCCGCATAATTCCATCCCGACTCTACTATTGGTAGATTAGTTATTCTATTAACTGACTCCAGTTCATGGAAAACAAACGGTTTCTTCTTCGATTGTGACACTGAAACACAAGGACATAGAATTTAATGGATATCAATATTTGTAATATTGATAGTTTCCATTTTCCGTTTCCTAATTTTGTAGATGACATTTAATAGACATAGTAAAACACGAAAAATTATTATTATTACTGTGGCGTTTTATATAAACAAATTCAACATATATTTTAATGAATTTATGTGACCCATAGAATAGATAACCTCTTGAGGCTAAATCAAGGGAAAATTTAATTTTTATTTCAAAATTATGATGTAATGGTACACTTTAAAAATAATGTCTGAAAACCATTTTTGGATGACACATAAAAAGCGAAGGATGATTTAATATACCTTACTATTTGTTTAAATACCTAAATATTAAATTTCATTTGAAGAAATTAATTAAAGATATTTTTTACAAGTAGTATCAACCTCTATAGCAGAATGTTACTAAATATAGTCCGTACGATATTTGTGGAGAATTCCAAGAAGACCCCTGCGTCACTTTCTTGGAATTAACCGCATTCGACATCCGAGGTAGAAAGGCATTAGCGGTGTAGTAGGAGCTATAGCGTGTTTATAATTGTATTATCTTCTAGTTTATTTACGATTTGTACTCTACTGCACTGTAAAAGTAATAAAAACACATTTTAATCTAAGAAATCTACTTTATAAGTGTATATTTACCTTAAGTATAAGTATAACTGTGTGTAGTGTTGACGAATATGTCTTCTATAAGTATAAAATTTATAAAATTGTCTTTTGCATGTTACACAATATAAGTATTTACGTATATGTTTTTGAAAGTCTTTTAAGGTAAAGATGTGGCAGCAATAGGAGCAAACTTTAACTGTTTCTACACGAACCACACTCATCAACAACCACTTTCAACATATCGCACACAGTAAATGTTATATAACCCGCCGGACCATTTTGAACAACCACCACGTTTGAAAAGTAGGAATGAGGTGTATTGGGGTCAACAAAAATTTTAATACAATATTCACAGGAAGGCATCTAGACTGTGACTGGTACATGATAGAAGAAGGCAGCATCCGGTATGGAAAAAGATAAACATTTCCGTTATACAGATAAATAAGTGTCAAATATTTTAGGGGGGTGGTTGCCGAAGTTATTTTGTGAAAAACAGTTCATATAAACTTAGGTCGAAATATGCTTCGTTTCTGAGATACACGAGTGTTTAAATTTTAATTTTTTGTTTATTTTTATTAATTATTTCAGAGTTTTAAAGATATTGACTCGAAAGTTGATGGTTGTATTTTATTTAGAAATATTGACAGCAACCTACTAGATAATGTATTAATAGAAATTAACAATACCCAACTTGCAATAAAATATGTATAATTTTTTTCCTCAAAAACGGTGTATTCTACGAAAAAAATTGAAGAGACCAATTTCATTCAAAATTGATGGAGGATTTCTAAAAAAAATATGAAAACGGGAAAAGTCAGTGGCATACAATTTTTTTTTATTAAAAAAGGTTGTGGCATTCTCGCACGAACGCCACTGGTGCAAGTAGAAATATTCGGATCACCCCAAAAAATGCACATTTATCCTTGCAACGCGTTTTTCAAATTTCAAGTTTATATCTTTAAAACTCTTTGAAATAATTAATAAACATAAATAAAAAAATTAAAATTTAAACACTCTGTATCTTGGAAACGAAGCATATTTCGACCTATGTTTATATGAACTTTTTTTCACAAAATAACTTCGGTAGCCACCCCCTAAAATATTTCGCACTTATTTATAAACACCCTTTATATGTATATATTTTAATATTCTGGAAATAACGCAGTAAATTGTTACAGTAGTTCCGATAACAGAACTTTATTGGCTTATTCTTTTCTTGGAATTCTATCTCAACAAATATTGTACGGACTATAAGCGCTTTAGCGTAATTCACATACTTACACACAAAATATGGATTTTATGCAACAAAGAGAGACACTTCATAACAGGATTATTCTTTGTACCATTGGCGTTATCAGTACAATGTGACATTTTTATCAAGTGGGTCAGGTTTGTTTATTCTTTTATGCGTTTAGTAGGTACTAATTTCGGTTAACAAGACCTTATTTGAATAATTACAGGATTTAATACGAAATATATCTTGCATAAGACGATAATTTTTTTATCGCGTTATTTATTATTAGGACGCCTACGTTCAACTATGATGTATTTCTATGTATCACAGTATGATTTACAAGTACAGGAATAATGTATGTATCTATAATTAAATTCAATTTTTCTCATTAAATTTATTTCAATAGGTCATTGAATTATTTTATCGTAACTAAAATCATGGGCTTGTCTTTCAAAAATACATTTATTCTATTATTAACTCTCACAAGTTGTTACTCAGATTTTTGTTAATTTGTTTGAATGACGACATTAAGCTAACCTTTAAAAAAAGTAAAATCATGGAGAAAAATAATATTAAATAAGTTTTATTTCAGTCGTATCACTATCTAACGACTATACTATCTATTCTTCTGTTAAGAACAATAAATACAGTAAATTCATTTTGTAGAAAGGTATTAGAAGATCACGTATTGCTCATCAACAGCAATTATCTAGTAATCTAAGTAATCGGATTACAAATATTTGGTAATTAACAGTTGACATAAGTTATAATTAGTTTTAAATCGTCTTTATTGGATGCCGACATCTGTCAAGGAAGTGAAATAACTTATTCCTCACAAATAAAAAATAAATGACTGCTACATCTTCGAACCATTATCAGATTTAAGACGTACAATTGGATGCAGTTGGTACATAATATTTTTTGTTTGTTTTTCTAATAACCTGTGCGTTCGTTGTCAGTCTGGACGGAGCAAGTGACATATCTCTTAATTATCACAGTAGGTGGTGAGGGTGAAGTGGAAGGAATGTAGACGGATCTGTTCAAATTTTTCCAAGTACGGCGACGACGACTACGCTGACGATGAGCCATCTTGCTCTGCAACGAAATTACGGCGTTACCAATTTGCACTGCTCACTCAATCACGAACGTTTTAAATCAGTTTAGGTTTTAAAAAGTCTCAGCAATAAAGTTACTTAAAAAATTCGAAAGTTCAGAAAATATATAGGATTTACACTTACTTCTGTATATTAATATTGTGAATTTACTGCGGCTACAAGCATTAAATTTAAACTGTCAATAATTGTGTTAAGAAAACACAGCTCATGTATCAGGGGTCAGCAAAAGCTATCTGGTAATAAACTCAAATGCAAGCGGCAACCTAGCATTATGTTTGTGATTGGCTACAAGTTATCAATACTTTTTATGTACGCACTTTTTTACATATTAATATGAAAATACAGAATTTTATAAGTATGTAAATATATTTCAGACGACAAATTCCTCATTTTTTTATGCACTAAGCTGCTATTAGACATTTTATCCAGAGCAAATGGATTAAAGGTTTTTCGCCTTTAATAATTCGTCAGTACCAAAATATGCGGTTAATACCCATTTGTGCTATAAACACATCCGTATATCACCCTATCGACTGGAACTGGATAATAAATTATTATCTACAACAATAATAACTGTTATCATTTTCAGTATTAAAATAGTGGATTATATTGGTATATATAAAGAATTACAAAAATGAAATGAAAATTTATATTTTGAATTATGCCAAAAGAAAGAAATGTATCCTGAATACTTACAAATTAATAAAGACAGTATTACAGAAACTGAAACCGACTCAACACTTCACCACTGTCCACATTACACTTAATGAATGTCTTCGTGTTTAATTTTATTAACAAGTTATATATCTAATCGTATATAAATTATCAATAATAATAATATACCATTCATAACTTTAATTAGAGACTTACATCATAATTATTATCGGTTACTTGGCGTACGCTACAGAAAATAGTGTAAATATAAATATGACAAATCCGTCCTTCCTTGGAGATTTGGAAAAATTTGAACAGGAACAGGGAAACTAGATTTGTAGTAATTTGGTTTGTGTCAGAAGATAGGACAAAAAAAATATGAAAAGAAAAAAAATAAGAAAAGAAAAACAATACTTTGGATTGGATAGACATTATATTTCATAACATTATATTTTGTGTAGAAACTTAAATACAGAAACATATTGTTGGTAGATCGCGTAGTGAAAAAAGGTGATAATAGTGTTCCACATCTAAAGTATCTATAATAATTGTTTTCAATGCATGTTTGACAACTTTGTTGGAGCACTTAAATTAATTTTAACGAGTATCTTTCCCTAAATTTTTAACTAAAATCAGGTTTTATACAGGGTGCCTCATAATTAGCTGCCAACAATGAACAGGCCGATTCTATGATCAAAACTAAGTAAAAAAGTTCATATGAACATGGGTCCGGAAATGCTTCCTAAGGGCACAGGGACCCATTGAAGAGGGAGGAATGGAAATCATTTTTTTGCAATATCTCTCAATTGCGTTGTGATAAATTTTGATGATTTGGTATACACAGCTAAATTTTGATGAGCAATTTGATGGACTAATCCATTTATTTCCACAAGGTCCATTGGGGTGGGTACGGGGGGGCCCTTGGTACTTTGCGTGTGTAACTTTTTCATCTTTGACTTTTTAACAAATTGGACAGCAAATTCCGTTTTCCCGAACTGTTTTACGTTAAAAAGGTACTCTTGTTTCAAATCGTTATCTTTAACGGTTTCTGAGAAAATCGCTCTTGAATTAATCCCACTTTGGTCAATTTCATAGTAATTTAAACAAAAAAAAATATTTTGTTTCAATTTAATCTAGTTTTAATAAAAAAATAATAATAAAAAATTAAATTAAATAAAAATTAATCCTTTAAATGGAAAAGAGAGGAAAGGAAAATTATTATTATTATTTTTTGTTTAAATTACTATGAAATTGACCAAAGTGGGATTAATTCAAGAGCGATTTTCTCAGAAACCGTTAAAGATAACGATTTGAAACAAGAGTACCTTTTTAACGTAAAACAGTTCGGGAAAACGGAATTTGCTGTCCAATTTGTTAAAAAGTCAAAGATGAAAAAGTTACACACGCAAAGTACCAAGGGCCCCCCCGTACCCACCCCAATGGACCTTGTGGAAATAAATGGATTAGTCCATCAAATTGCTCATCAAAATTTAGCTGTGTATACCAAATTTCATTCATTTATCACAACGCGATTGAGAGATATTGCAAAAAAATGATTTCCATTCCTCCCTCTTCAATGGGTCCCTGTGCCCTTAGGAAGCATTTCCGGACCCATGTTCATATGAACTTTTTTACTTAGTTTTGATCATAGAATCGGCCTGTTCAGGGTTGGCAGCTAATTATGAGACACCCTGTATATAGACACTTCAAGAAAATTATCTACCAGAATAAATAAAAGGAATATATCGCCCTATTTTAAAGAAACTGTCAAGCGTCTGCCATTAAAGTAGGCGTTCGAAATAATGACCTTAAGTTGCTGTGTAGTAATTTTAGAGCAATAAATATTTTGTTTTTTTATAATCGAACCCTATAACAGAAAAACTTAAACAAAGAATTTCTTGCTTTACATAAGGCACCTTTTATCATAGGCGTTGTCCTGTCCAAATTTCAATAAACTTGTTTGTGATAAACACTTTCAGTTTTACCCGAATTTTCTAATTTTCCAGGCAACTTTTTCAATGTTTCTTTCCCTAAAAACCCTATTCGGGCTATATGAACACTTAAAAAAAAGTAGCAAAATCAGTCCAGCCGTTTTCAAATGATGCGCTTACCAACGAACAGAATTTAATTTTTATTTATATTCATTGTTCATAGTATACAGGGTGTTTCAGAAAACATGAGCCAACATTCGAGGGCAGATTCCTAATCTAAAAACAAGATTATTCATCTCTTTTCCGTTGAGATTTTTAATTTAAATGTGCTCGGAAAGTAAAATTTTAAGGTGAACATTTTCAACACTTCCTATAAAACGTCATATTATGTTTATCGAGTTTTTTATTGTAGGTACGTTTACAATTCATAATTAATTCTAGATAAATAAATATAGTTTATATTACATTTAAAATACCGAAACTCGAGGAAAAGCGAAGAAATAGTAAGTCAATTTTTGATCAAAATTGAGCTAGAATTTAACTCATGTAATTATAAATTAGAAATATCAATGGAGAACCAATTTTTTCTTTGATTAAATCCAAGGGCTTGCAAGTAAGTCCGGTACTGTAATTCATGTTCAACATAATAATACCTAGGAATGTGTATTTGGTGGTAAATAGTTAGTTGTCCAAATTTCATTTAATTCCCTCAAGGGGAAATCTAGATTTTTGGAAAAAACATATTTTATTTTAAAACTATAGCACCCTGTAGCTAAGGAACGAAGCGAAATCGGACCCATGTTGATATGAAAAAATAATTTTGTTTTCTGTTTTCTGAAACACCCTGTGTATAGATTTTTAAATCAGCTAAACTGTGTAAACTGACAATTAATACACTTTGTTTACAGAAACAATAATTATTATCTTACCTATTAATATGAACTTATTTATTTGTTTTCTCTTTTGTTTTTAAAAAGAAAATGAATGTATCTAAAAAGCCCTAGTCAAATGTTTAGATAAAATACATATTATTGTATTCTGCGACTTAGAATCTAGAAAAAATATTCTATTATTCAAATTTGCAATATCTGATAACATCCTAAATATCAAATGATTGATTTGATAATATATACTTTGAAGTACTTCCAGAAAAGGTTATTTTCTATTTCAAGGAAACGAATCTTAAAAAACCTTCTTTTATGGATATACCAATAGACTGCACTTTGTCTACATTTTCAGTTACTTTCTTGACGATGATTTAAAATATGAAATACTATATCTACTATTCCAAGCCATGCAGAAAAACATTTTCTTAGGCTGCCACAAATATTCTCGACTTCATTGTTTCCCTAAGTCTATATTTATTGTTATCTACAGAGAAGGCATTTTAAATAGGATGTTTACGTTAATAAAAATAAATGATTTGTTACAAAATTAATATTGTTTATATTTTCCTTAAAATGACCGATTTGGTTTGTACTTTGATTTGTAATATTTTTGATGAAGGAACTAATTAGTCCAAGAATTCGAAGCTATTCGGTATTTGTTTAAACATTTGTTGTTTATGATTAAAAATTATAATTAATGACATTGTGGGAAATAACTACTGTACGGCTCTAATCAGAATTGTGTCGCATCCACAATATCTGATAAGTAGCTGAAATCATTCCTTAGTAGAACCACCAGACACATACCGGTTTAGTAAAATTCATCAGAACGCCATACATCAGACAACTGACGAATGATCTACGTATTTTGATGTCTATCTAGAGATATGGTATAAATTAATCGTCTAATCTCCAAGACACTGTAGACTATGCCTTTGGAGCATATTTGGATAACATTTTACATATTTTTCCTAAATATTTATTTGAACCTGCGCCCACATACACGCGATAATTTCGTGCAATCAAAATAATCCTAGACCTGCCGAAATAAGAGATCAAAGTCGCGGGTTACATCCAAATTATAATAATATAAACATACAAAGTACATCAAAACTCGATAAGAACTAACAGGATATTGGAAGATTATAAATGTGGAAAAGTTGATTCATCAACAATTGAACTATTGATCTGTAGATGAGACATGTCTACAAAAATGACCAAATGTTATGTTGTTTCTAATTAGCATATTAATTGATTATAAACATATATTTAGATAAATCAGTCAATCTAATATAGTGTATATTATTGCTGTCTTAAAAATGTCTTGATGCAGTATTTAGATATCGACTCTTGATTGTTTAAAATCGTTATTACAATTATTAATTCATAAAAAAATAATAAAACAAAGGTTTAGTTAGTAATTCTTCGGTTTTTTGACAACAATTGATTAAACTTTTTCTAAAATTTTAAATGAACCTTACCAACATATGTACAGAAAAACGAATTTTTTAATTGGTAGATTAACCTTTATTTGTTCCTATGAAATTATGAAATGTCAATAAATAGATTTGAATTTGTAAACCATATTAGTCCAAGAGCCAAAGGCAAAAAACTTGTTTGAATTTACTAAGCCTAGTTTTTTGATAGTTGATTACAGTAGGCGTGTACACAAACATACTGTGGTCAGTCAAATGAAACTGAGAACAGGTGTCTCAGATACACCACAGACAATATAGCTTATTGCCACAGACTGCGTGTT